ACCTGGTTCCAGTAGCTCATGCTTATAATCCTAGCTACTCAAAGTTCTAAGTTCAGAGGATTGTGGTTTGAAGCCACCCTGAACAGGAAAGTCAGTGAGACTCTTATCTTCAAGAGCAGTGGCTCAAGTGGTAGAGTACTGACCTTGAGCAAAAATGCTAAGGGAAAGTGCCTAGGTCCTGAGTTCAAGCCCAAGTACCAGCACAAAAGAAGAAAGAAAAAGAAGAAACACCTAGAGAGAAGGGACTTCCTACTAACTGTAACCTTACTCTATCATATGTAGTGGAAGCACAACACTTCCCACAGGGCCCCAGAACCCATCCAACTCCGCAGGGGCCTCACATGAACCCTGACGCTTTTCCTTGTGAATGGAGGTGATCACATTTGCAACCCAGCCCCATCTTGGCCCTGGAGCCCTCACCTGCAGGAGACCCTGGGAAGCTGGAAGCCTCCTCTTTGGGTGCTGCCTGTTTCTTGGCTGCAGAAGCAGCTGGAGACTTCTCTCTCAAGGACTTGGCCTTGTGCATGGCCTTCTGTTCCTGCTCCGGGGGTTTCTTCTGTGCTTTTTTCCTTCTCTTTTTTGGAGGCCCAGAAGCTTCTGAGCCTCGAGCCTTGCCAGCTGGAATACAAAACAACAGAGTTGCACCTCAGCCTCTGTGACATTCAGCCGGCAGGAAGATCTTGCAATGGTTTTAACTCCACAAGGATGCCTCAAAACAATCAGGATGGAGAATCCACCCACCTCACCTGGAATGCAGATCATGCTTGACCTAATAGTTCTGTTTGTGAGAATTGCCCTTCACAAACATGTTCATAAAGCTGAGCACTGTGGCTCACATCTGTAATTCCAGTTACTCAGAAGGCTGAGAACTTAGGAAACCAACTTTAAGCTAGCCTAAGCAGGAAAAGTCCATGAAGCATCTATCTCCAGTTAACTAGCAAAAAACGGAACTGGGGGTGTGGCTCATAAGGTAGAGCCCCAGACTTGGGCAGACAAGGCCAAAGAACAGCCCCCTGGCCCTGAGTTCAAACTCCAGTACTGGCACAAAAACAAAAAACAAAAAATCCCCAAAGACGTCCGTACGGCGCTGGCGTGAAAAGCTAGGGGGTAAATGGCACCGCCACACAGGTGTTTCTGTCTGGGAGGTGAAGCTGATTACATTTTACACTGAGGACCGGGGTGTGCAATGGGAATCAACGCGCGGAGTCCACGCCACGGACACGGAAAGTCAGCTTTAGGTGGCAACGAGGTGAGAGAGGTGGCCAACTTCTTCAACTCCCCCTCCTGAATGTGTGCCGGCCTCGTGTGCACGGCTTCCCGCCAAGGAGCCAA